GCTCACATCTCACCGTGGAAATCAAAGAGGGCTTCCTGGAAGAGTTGGCCTTTCCAGTAGGCTTTGGAGAAGAAGGTGGAGAAAGGGGTGGGTGGCTGGCTGGGGAAGGAGGAGCCTTCCAGGGGGGTGGACCACGTGGAGTATAAAGTGAAAGAACAGGGATGGGCTAGAGAGGAGAGCTAGGGCCAGCGCACAGAGGGCTCCGAATGACAGGCTCTGGAGGAGGCCTGCAATGCAGTCAGGATCCCCACTGAGGAAGGAGGCAATCTGATCTGAGATCAAGAAAAACCAGACACAGAAACTCGTTTGGTGGCTGCTACAGTTGCCCAGACTCAGCTCACTGGGAGCTGCGCTGTGGTGAGAGGAGACAGGAGAGGCTGGCAAGAAACATGATGACATCAAGAAGATGGGGAAACGGGGGTCAGAGGGCCCCTCCAGGGCATCCTGGGCTACACTGAGGACCGAGCTGTCTTCCGAAACATCATCAGTGACACCCACTCTTCCACCTTCGATGCTGGGGCAGGCATCGCCCTCAACAACCACTTTGCCAAGCCATTTCCTGGTATGACAGTGAACTTGGCTACAGCAACAGGAATGGTCCATATAGCCTCCAAGGACCACCAGCCCCAGCAAGAGGAAGAGAGGCCCTCAGAGACTGGGGAGTCCTCGTCCCAAACAGGCCCCCCACCCCACTGAGAACCCCCTGACCTGCAGTTTCCTTCTCTGACTCCCTGATGGAGGGACGTAGGAAGCCCTACCTTGTCCTGCATCATCAATAAAGTACACTAGTGAGAGAAAGATGAGAGAGGGAGGGAGGGAGGGAGAGATAGCAGTGGGTCAAATGAGAAACAGGGTGAGGATTCAGGGAGCTGAATCTTGGGGAGGGAATGGGAAGAAAGACAAAACTGTGACCAGAACGTAGACATGACTAGGGAGGTTGGTGTGGACAGGGGATGGAGACAACCAGTTTGGTCGTTAATGGGGGGTGGGGGAGGAATGAGCTGCCAGGATCCACAGGAAGCTATGAGACCTTAGTTCCGGAGCGGGGCTGGCTGGCGGGGGATGAGGAGACAGGGACAGTCACTTGGGAGTCACCCATGCAAGTGCACGCTGCAGATTTGGGAGAGGAAGACAAAGGGAATTGCCTGGGTGAGGGGGGGGGGGGTAAACACCCACTGGACCTCATTGGGCTCCCCCCTTTTTAAAGCTTCCTGAGGACAGAGGCGGAAGGGGAGGCACAGAAGAAAGGGACGTTGGAGAGAGAACCAGGAGACCTTGGTGTGTGTCCAGCAGAGCCATACCTCATCAGAGACCCGGGGTCAGAGCAGCCAGGAGGCAGCCATTGGCTCTGTGGTTGGGGAGAATGGTTTCAGGAGGTAGAAGTCAAACCAGAAAGATTTCAGAGGCGAGAGGCAGAAGGTGTGGGGGCAGTGGCTGCGCCTCCCAAGAGAAGGGAGGTGATGGTGAGCAGGGATGGATTAGGGTGAGGCCCTGGGGACAGCATTGAAGGAGCCACTCACCCTCGGGGCTATGCAGGTGACCTTAATAAAAAGGGGCAGGCCAAGGCCCACAGCTGCCAACAGATAGAGGCCCAGCCGAAACCGGTTTGGCTCAGTGAATAGAGCATCCATCTGTGGACTGAAAGGTCCCAGGTTCGATTCCGGTTAAAGCCATGTATTAATACATTGGTTGTGGGCACATCCCCAGTGGGGGGTGTGCAGGAGGCAGCTGGTCAATGATTCTCTCTCATCGATGTTTCTAGCTCTCTATCCCTGTCTCTTCCTCTCTGTGGAAAATCAATAAAATATATCTTTTTTTAAAAAAAAGAATCAGAACTTTAAAAGAGAGAAAGAGAGAGAGAGAGAGAGAGAGAGAGAGAGAGAGAGAGAGAGAGAGAGAAAGAGAGGGAGGATAGAGGCCCATAAAGCGACCCTCTGAGATGAAAGGGGAAGAGAGGACCCTGGGAGGGAACTTAGAGACCCCACAGACGCTAAGACCCTCGATCTCCACAGCCCACAAAACACACGGTGGCCAGCGGCCGAGCCTGGACACTCAGAGAAGGAACATGAAGGGTGGGGGAAGGGTGGGGGAGCGGGCAAGTCTGGGAACAGGGGTTAGGGAGCAGCCAGGAACCCAGGGCGGGAGCGGGGAGGGAGAGCGAGCTTCCTTGGACCTTCCTGGGGAGATTGGATTGAGCTTCCTTTCCCGGTGAGTATTGGGGGAGGGGAGTCCCAGCATCTTTGGGGTCAGCCTGGGGAAAGCAAGTTGTCCCATTCTACCCTTTCCCCAGGCTGCTCCAACCCAGGGAGACCGGTGGCCCCAGCCCAGAGAGGCTGCCCTCCGCCCCAAACACGCTCCTTCTTCCACCAAAGGTGGGCCAGTGTCTCCTCCTCAGAATGCAGTCTGCAGGGGGTTCATGATGGGATGTCCGTGTCCTCACCCCCCTCCCTCCAGACCTGCGAGGGTGACCCCCTTTGAAACAAGGGCCTCCGCGGATGTGATGCCATTCGGTGATCAAGACGACCTCACGCTGGGTGATACGAGGGGCCCTAACCCAGCGCCAGGACCCTTGTAAGAGGCCAGAGCGGGGAAGGCCATGAGGAGCCGGGGAGGGGACGGATGCCCGGGCTCTCCCCGGAGCATCGCAGAGGCCCTGGCCCTGCCAGCAGCTCCATTTCACACTCTGGCCCCCAGAACTCGAGGAAAGATTTCTTCTGCCTGCAGCCGCCGCGTGTGTGGCGATTTGTTCTGGCAGTGCTGGGAGATGCGTGTAGCTCGCTCCCTGACCTGTAACATGACCAGGAAGTGCTCAGGGATGCTTCCAGCCCTGAGTCTCCCAATCCAACCTTTCGGCAAAGAGGGGAGTTCCAGGTCTAGTCAAAGGTGTGCCCTCAGCCCTGCCCCTGCCCACTGAGATTTCCTCCGTTCACTGGAGGAGGAGGAAGGCCAAATGAAGGGCCCACCTCCCATGAGCCACCACCCCTTCCTCCTTCGCCCAAAGCTCACGCCATCCTCGCGGGCTGGTCAAAAGGGCCAAAGCTCACCCGGACCACACAACTAAAGGCGAGGATCTTCTCCAAAACAGGACGCGGCCTTTCTGAATTTGTCCCTGCAAGCATCACCCCTTCTTCACAGACTCTTCCCCCACCCCCTGGCATCTGCCTTCGTCCTCTGCCTCCCTCAGTCTTGGGGGACAAGATACAAGGGATCCCCCCAAGCACGGGGAATGGAAGGCACTCTCCCGCCCTCCCCCCTCTTCCCACGGCACAACTGGAGGGGGGAGGGGAGGTCAGCCGGGTTCATAAAGGCCAGATGTTGAGAAAGAGAGCAGGGCCCACCCCACGCCCACCACCCCACCCCCACCCTCACCCCCAGCAAAAAAAAATAACCAAGAGACACGGTGTGAAACACGAACACAAGTTTTGTGGTCCAAAACAGTATTTATCAAGGATCTGCTCTATGCAAACAATAACTTTTTACAAAGCATTTTCACAGAAAAGGAGACAAGTCCTTCCCCAGGATCACATGTGAGAATTGTTCCTCCCTCACCCTGTTTGGTGGGGATGGGGGGCATTACTTGCTGGTGTGGACAGAAAGGTCTCGGGTCCCCATGTGGCTGGGCAGATCCTCGGCCCCCAGGTTCCCCTCACACCTACACGTGGACCCTCACGGAGAGTTCACCTCCCCTGACCTCACCTGGTGGAGGAGAAAGCCGCTCCATCCCTCCCACCCTAAGGGACCCTCCCAGCCTCAGGGCGTGGTCCAGGCCTAGCTCTCCCCTCCCCCCACAAAACAGAACCTCTGACCTCAGGACTAATCCCCTGGCCCTGCCCCCTTCGGATCCATCAGGTCCCTGACAACTCCCCAAAGGCCGAGGAAAGGGGCCAGCTGAGGGTACCGCAGCCCGGCTCCCACCCAAACGCCAACGCTGCCCCTCCAGACCCCACTGACGCTCGTGTTCGGGCCCAGAGCCTTCCCCCCCCCTCCACCCCTCCAGTGTCTATCTCTGAAGGAGGCTGAGTTTCGTGTCCAGAGGGACCCAGGCCTCCCCTCTACCTCCACCTCCTCCCACCCACAAATCGGTGGAGAGGACCTCAGGAGGCAACTTGTTGGGTCTGATTGTATTGATTTCTTCCACCTTCCATTGCTTTCCCTGGGGAAACCTCTGGCCCCTTCCCCAGGCGAAGTCTGCCCTTTGCAGGGGAGGAGATCCCTGGGCCCTGCCTCTCCTGTGATCTATTATGGGGAGCAAACTGGGGGAGGGGTTTGGTTGACCAAGGGGCACCTCTTTGACCCATCAGACCCATAAACTGAAAGCAAACAGGAAAACTGACGAAGGAAACCCGAAAACCGGACAAAAGGGGGGAAGTTGGTGGCTGAGACCGAGGATCTCAACAATCAGGGGGGTCTCCTGACTTGGGGGCCCCTAGGAAAGGGGGTGATCGTCAAGCTGCTCCCCTTCCCCCCAAGAAGGCTTCTCGGTGCTCAGGACGCTGGGGAAGGCCTGAGGGGAATCAAGGGTTAAAGGCCTACATGGTGGGGATGGGGGGCATCCAATCACCCAGGGAGCTGCCAATCACCTCCCCACGCCCATCTCGGCCCCCTCATCCCGGAGCTGGCCCACAGCGACCGGTTTGTCTATCACCAAGGTCTCTCCATCTCTCTCCGCCTGGGTGCAGCCTCCCGTGCTCCCTTCCGGGGTGAAGGCACCGGCCTCCCAGAGATGCGAGAAGGAAGAGCGGACAGACTGGAATCTGCGTCGTTAACTCTTCCTTTAAGCCTTCTCCCGACTCCGACTCCGGCCTTCAGATCCTCTCGGGTGGATGAGGGGGAGGGGGCGTCCCCCCAACCAGTTAGGCGCTTGAAGATCACTGTCATTTGAGGTCCCTCTGACCACACAGCCCATCACGCATCAACGGGGGAGGCAACGTGTGAGAAGGCCAGCCCGCAGTCTGCCTGTGACCCCCGCGTTCTCCCCTCTTGGCAGAGAGGCCCCGCGTTCAGAGGTCCTCCTCCAGGTGGCCCCCCCAGAACTTGACGCCGGGGGGCTCGGGGACGGCGGGGCCCCCCACCTGCCACCTCCACAGCGGGTGGGCGGGCGGGGGCTTGGCGGCGTCTCCCCGCAGGCGGAGCGAGGCCGCGGGGCCCAGGTCCCCGTCCTCGCCCACCACCAGGGCGGCCGGGCAGGGGAAGCAGTCCAGGAGGCGGAAGGTGCTGGCGGCGGGGAGCGCGGGCGCCGGGCGGCGGGGCTGCGCCGGGCGCGGGGGGCGCGCGGGCCGCCGGCGCTTCTTGGCGGCGCCCCGGGCGGGCCCTCGGGCCGCGGGCCGGTCGGGGCCCCGGCGCAGGCTCGGCGTGTCCAGGGCGAAGCCCTTTGCGTAACACCAGAGCTTGGAGCGGCGGATCAGGCGGTCGAAGTGTTCCTGGCGGAGGTTGCCGGGCGCGGCCGGGGCCCCGCGGGCCGTCGAGGGGCCGGCGGCGGGCGCGGCGGGGGCGGCCTGCGGAGGGGCTCCGGGCGCGGCGGCCGTTTGGCCGGGCGGGGGCGGCCCTCCGGGCTGGAGGGGAAGGCCCGCAGGTGGCGGCGGCGGCGGCGGCGGCGGGGAGCCGGGCTCCCGGTGCGGGCTGGCGGCGGCGGGCCCAGGTGAAGGATCCAGAGCCAGGGCCGGTCTAGGCGGGGCCGAGGCGGGGCTGGTGGCCGAGTCCCGAGGGCTCCGGGGCGCCGGGCAGCGGCCGGAACGGGCGCCCGGGTGCGAGAAGCTGCCTCCGCCCTCTTCCTCCTCGCGGCGGGCCCGGCTCGCTGCGGCGGCGGCGGCGGCGGCGGCGGCGGCATCCTGGCCGGCGGCGGCGGGGATCAGGGCGCCCGGCCGCCCAGCCTGCCCCGCGGGGGGGCTCAGGCCCTCCGGGGCCCGGCGGCCGGGGCGCGGCGGGGCGCGCGGGCCCAGCGGCAACGGAGCCCGCGGCGCCGGCTCCCCGGGCCCGAGGCCCAGCAGGGACGCCCGGGGCTTGGCAAGGGCGCAGAAGGCGAGGGCTCGCAGGCAGAGCGGGGAGAACTGCGGGCTCCCCAGGCGCGGCTTCCTGGGTGCCGCGGAGCAGGGCGACCCTCGCGGGGACGCCGGCACCGCGAGGCGGGGAGCGGGACACAGGGTCTCCATGGAGCCGCCTGCGGGGGCGCCCGCTGCGGGGGCCCAGGTCCGAGCGGCGGGATGCCCCGGCTGCCCGAAGAGCCCGCGGGCGAGGGGAACATCGCCCCCCCTCGACGGGGAGGTCTCCGCTCACGGCCGCCCCCGGCCCGCACCCCCGGGGCCGCGCAGCTCTGGCTCCCCTTCCTCGGTCGCTCACGCGGCCCTCCTCCCGGCGGCCGGACTCCTGGGTCCCCGCGAGTCCCTGCGCGGTCGGTCGGCCGCCCTTCCTGCCGCCGCCGCGATCCCCGGGCAGCCCGCCCCCGCGGGAGCCCCTCTCCGGGAGCCCGGAGCGCGCGGAGGCGGGGGAAACAAAGCCCCCGGCGGCCGCGGGAGGCGGGAAGGACCCCGGGCCCGGCACCCGGTGCCCGGGCCCAGGCGGCGGAGAGGGCGCCTTCCGCCCGCTTGGCTCCTTTCTTCCCCGCTGGCTCCGGAGACCGCGTTCTGGAGCACGGCCCCCTCGCTGCCCCAATACCAGCGCCGGGGCCGCGAGCGCGCCGCTGATTGGGCGGCAGCGCCAGTGACGTAGCAGGCCCCGCCCCGCGGCCCCGCCCCCGGCCCCATTCCGCGCACAGACAGACACACGTGGACCCGGCGAGGCCGGGCGGGCACGGAGCGTGCGCGGGTGGGTGTCGGAGCCGCGCCGCACGTGGCCGGGAGGCGCCCCGTGCACTCGGGCGTCGCCGTGCAATTCGCGTTTTCCCTCGGCGGCCACGGTCTTCGCATCCGTAGCACGGGAACGCTCACGTCTCCCCTCCTGGGGCTACGTGAGCGAAAATAGATGGAAAACAATGTGGGAGGAGAAGAGGGGATGAGGCGATGGTGGCGTACCAGCCTCACAGGAGGCTCCCTGCCTCTCTGCTCCAGGCCCCTAGAACACTGGGGGCTCAGAAAACACTGAGCGAGGCGGGAGGAATTGAGTGAGGGTGCCAGGGGAACAAAGGAAGACATAAATTCGGGGGAGGGGGAAGGTGTTATGACGTCACGGAAGACGGTAGACTTTCTCAGTACCTGTTTCCATTTCTCTCACTGCAGTTTCTGAACGGCCTCTGGACCAAATTCCGAGTGGCTATCTCTGCAGTCCCCCCTCAGATCCCACGACTCTGCCCCCTGGAGTCTTGAATTTCAAAAATTGGTGGAAGAGGCCAGAGGGAGGGGATGCACAGACACCCCTCCCCCCCCAAAAAAAAACAGTATAGCAAAGAAAAAGTGAATCCCCAATTTAAAAAAAAAAAAAAAACATAATGGAGGACCACCTCCCCGCAGCGTGGTCTATTTCTCACCCTTCTTTCGTTTCTGTATAGCCTCCTGTGAAATGAGAGTCTTAATCACCACTGCACCCTCACTGCCCAGACCCATGCCCAGGCGTAATAGGTGCTTAATAAACACGTGTAAGTGAATGAAATAAATACTCCCCAGAATATGTTCTTCTTGGTAAAAATCAGGATATCGGAATATGGCCACCTCCCATCCCCAGAAATACAAAGAGAGCTTGGTAGGATGGCTTGGAGTAAAGGGCTTGGGTAGAAGGGGGGTGAGGGATGCCACAAAAATACCTCCTTCTGGGGCTGGGGTAGGACAGGGCTCCTGTAAGGGTATGAGAGATGTCTGTCCCTCCTGGCCATGGCCACAGAAGCAGTGTTCTCCTACGCGTCAGCAAGGAACGTGGGTCGGAAAGGAATTAGGACGATTGGCCTCGGGCTGCTCTTTGCAGAGGCCAGAGGCAAAGGCCTCAGGGCGGGGCTTGAGTTTAAGGAATGGGGAGGAAGCGGTTCTGTTGCCCAACACTCTCACCCCCTGACAGGTTTCCAGGTGTCATGCGAGGAGTTCCCAGGGTCCCGCTAGTCTAGACTTCAGGTTCCTAGATGCCCCAAAGGCTCCCTGCCCCCTCCTCACCACCCCCTCCCCCTCCAAGAGAACAGTCCTAGAAGGATGATGATCTTCACGGCTGCTCTCTGGGCTGCTGTGCTGAGAACTCTCACCAGACACAGCGCCTGGTTCTGCTGCTTGTGGGGCAGAAGGGCACCTGCCTCCACCCACTCTGCTCCAGCCTCTCTGCAGCTGCGATGCCCGGAGAGAAGGCCGGGGGCCCCCTACAGGAACCTGGACAGCACAGATCCATGGCCTCCTCCTCCCACTCCAAAAGCCACCAGTCCCCCCACCTCTGAGTGCAGGGGCGTTATCAGCAGCGACCCTTAATGCTGAGAGTCCTTCCCTCCACCCCCGCGTTCCCTTCTTTCCCTTCCCCGGAAGCAGGCGCCCCAGGATGTAGCACGGGTGGGAAGATCCTCCGTGGCACAGGAGCACTTTGCAAACAGCAGGAATCCGTGCCCCTCTCCAGCTGAAAGGACTGAGAATAATCACGCCCGGTTTTCAGAGCGCTTGAGCTGGAGGAGCCAGTTCCTACCCCCAGCCCCCAGCTGTCAATCCTGATCAAGTCACCCAGACGCTTGGAGTCCTCATGTCCCTATCAGACAACAGCCGCTGCCTCCCGGCACTGTCAGGAGGGTGGGAACCGGATGGGAGAGGGCTGGCCCCTGTTGCAATTCCCGTTGCCCGCAGTAGAGGTCACTCAACCCCGTCCTCAGCCAGTGGGATGAGAAGGCAACAACACCCTTCTCCGACGGAACCCCTATTTCCCCATAGGAGCAAGAGGTACAAGGCTAGATGCTGGGTTCCAACGGACACCTCTGAAATAAGGCATATTCTGTACCCCTCCCCCCCTCCGCCCCCGGGACCTGGAAACCCGCCCTTCCCGGCCCGTGGCCCAGAGGCCTGTGTTCAAGAGCTTGAGAGCGAGGCGCCTGCCTACTTGCCCTCCCCTGGAGGAAGGCATGGCAGGGAACTGGCCCCAGCCATCCAGCCCAAGAATGACTTCTACAGCCCTAGCTGGTTTGGCTCACTGGATAGAGCATCGGCCTGGGGACTGAAGGGTTCCAGGTTTGATTCTGGTCAAGGGCATGTACCTTGGTTGCAGGCACATCCCCAGTAGGGGGTGTGCAGGAGACAGCTGATAGATACTTCTATCTCATGGGTGTTCCTAAGTCTCTATCCCTCTTCCTTCCTCTCTGTAAAAAAAAAATCAATAAAATATATTTTAAAAAAGTAACTTCTAAAGTACTGACTATATTCCAGTCCCAAGTTTAAGAAATTTGTGTTACTTAATCCCCATAACAAGTTTATAAGATTCTATGTATATTGTATATACATATCTATTTTTGTTAATTCTCACCTGAGGACATTTTCCCATTAGAGAGAGAGAGAGAGAGAGAGAGAGAGTCAGAGTCATCAGACATTGATCGGCTACCTCCCAAACAGACCCTGACAGGGAATCAAACCTGCAACCTTTTTGGTGTGTGGGATGACACTTCAACCAACTGAGCCACCTGGCCAGGGCAAAAGCATGATGTTTTTGAGCTTCATTCCTGCTGTAGCCTGTAGTAGCGCCCCCTTTTATTGCTGAGCAGTCCCATGGTGTGGAAATACCAGTTTGTTTATCCATTCACATTCGGGTCCTTCCCACTTCTCAGTTACTAGAAATAATCATCATAAGCATTTACATACAAGCCTTTGTGTGGACGTAAGTGTTCATGTTAAAAGTGGAATTCCCAGGTCCTCTGGTAAATTCGTGTTTGGCTTTTGAAGAAACTGCCTAACTGATTTCTAAGCTGGCTCTACTGTACCGTTTTACATTTCCATTCATGGCGGTGTTATACATGAGGAAAGTGAGGGACAGTGACTTTAAGCGAGATTTGCCCAAGGTCACATGGCTAGCAAGTGTCAGAGCCTGGACTCAACCCAGGTCCCAAGTCCATGTTCATAACCCAGAGTCTAGCCCATGACAACGAATGGCAGAGGGAAGCCATTTCTTTTTTCCCCAACTATATTTTATTGATTTTTCACAGAGAGGAAGGGAAAGGGATAGAGAGCTAGAAACATCAATGAAAGAGAATCATCGACTAGCTGCCTCCTGCACACCCCGTACTGGGGATGTGCCCACAACCAAGGTACATGCCCTTGACCGGAATCGAACCTGGGACTTTTCAGTCTGCAGACCGACGCTCTATCCACTGAGCCAAACCGGTTTCGGCGGAAAGCTATTTCTTGCCTTACCACACTGCAGCCACCACCGTTTTGCCTATCTTGCTTCTAGAATTTCCTAAGGCAGGATCTGGGCTCCACACCAGCTGGAATGCATCTCCCCTTAACCATGCCCACGCTGGGCTTTCCTCCTGGAAATGTGCACCTCGGGTTAAGAGCTAAAGTTCTGGTTCTGGGTGGATCTATGCATATTCCAGACTCATCATTTTACCAGCTGTGTGATCTGGGGACCAGTTACCTACACACACACCCAGAAGCTTACCTTCTGGTAAACCAGGGGGAGCCAGGTTATATACAAGCAGACAGTATTCCTCCTGGGGAGACAGTGAGAACGAAATGAGAACCCCAGCTGAAACTGGTTTGGCTCAGTGGATAGAGCGTCTGTCTGCTGACTGAAAGGTCCCAGGTTCGATTCCAGTCAAGGGCATGTACATTAGTTGTGGGCATATCCCCAGTGGGGGGCGGGTGTGCAAGAGGCAGCTGGTCAATGTTTCTAGCTCTCTTTCCCTTCCTCTCTGTAAAAAATCAATAAAATATAAATTTTTTAAAAGAAAAAAAGAAATGAGAACCCCATGTTTAGCGCCTGGTCCATGACGCCCTTGATAAGTGCAAGTGCTTTTGACAGCAGCTTAGCCTTTTCCCCTTCTCCTGTCTCTTCCCTTTTCCCATCCCTACGCCACATCCCCAGGAATGGTTCCAGGCTGGCCCTCCTGCCATACTTTCTCCACGTGCTTAGAATGAGTCCATCCGTCTATTTATCCACCGTCACTGAGCATCCACCTTGTAGCCAGCCCGGGCCGGGCCCTGGAGACTCGGAAATGATGGAGACACAGTCTAGTGGGAAAGGTGGGTGTTCCGGCTACTTTGAGAAG